GGTCCTCTATCTTTGTTTCCTACTTCGGGGAGTCACACCAACCAAATCCTACCTGGCACTTAGGGCACAGACCTGGACATCATCCTAGACAATGACTTCTTCCTCCCCTCCAAACCCCATCAGGATCCAACCTCTGGCAATTGCTGGTGATTTTGGCTTTCAACACCTGTTCACATCTCTCCATGGCCATCATTACAATGTCTTTCACTCAGGCCCTTCCTGCCATAGGGCCTTCGCACATGCCGGTGCCTCAGCCCAAGTCAGCTCTCCTCTTCCTGTACCTCCTTCACCTGATTAACACCCACTGAGTCCAGGGAAGCCTTTCCTCACTAGATCCACACCTCCTAGGAACTGCTTGCCCTCAAAGCAATTTCCCTTTTGATACTTATCACAATAATAATTCTGGGATTCTTTAAATAATTTCTTTTTTCCTATTAGACTGTTCATGTTTCCTGAGATAAGTATTATGTATTTTTTTCAGTATTCTAAAACCACTGCTGAGAGCACTAAATAAATGCAGGGTGAAGCATGCATCCACGTTCAAACTTCAGTTGCAGGACATTCTCTGTAACTTAGTAGTTTCCCTAAAAAATACAGGGTCTGTGATAGCACCTTATAATAGAGCTACTGCATCAAGCTCAATTTGCCTAAAAGGCTTTATGCTATTCCCAAATGTTTCCTGGGAGTAGCCTTCTCCCTTCCCAGTCCTTTGAAAGAGACACAGCTCCACCCTTTTCTTTCTAGTTGAGAGAAAACTTACTAGGTTCAAGTTGAGGTCAATGGTTTTAAGAATAAGAAACAAACTTTTCATTCAGATATTATGTAATTTCATAACATTTAAACTACTTATAACATTAGAATGCAATTTTTGTTGTTGGTTCCATTTTATCTCTATTACTATTTTCTAGAATAGATAAATGTATAAAAAGCTTGTATGACCTTTTCTTTTTCTTTTTCTGGTTTATTATTCCTTATTTCCAAAACTCTTTATTGACATTAATTCTCCCAGGCTTCAAATATAAGGTGCTTAACCCTAAGTTTCATTTGTTAAGAATTCTTACAATTTTGCACTTTGTTTGGAACCTGTAAAGTTGAATGTTTGCACACAATTAAAAATTAATACATGACATTAAAAACAGGCAACAAAAGAAAAACAGATAAAATGAGCTTCATTAAAATGAAAAACTATAATTTTAAAAGTGCATTAAAAATATTATATCAAGAAAGTGAAAAGACAATCTACAGAATGAGAAAAATTTACAAATCATGTATCTAATAAGGGTTTAATATCCAGAATATGTAAAGAGCTCCTACAACTCAAGAACGAAAGGCAAGCAACCTGATTAAAAATGGGCAAAGGACTTGAATGACATTTCTCTAAAGAAGGCATACAGTGGCTAAGCACATGAAAGATTCCCAACATAAGCACATGAAAGATTCCCAACATTAGAGAAATGCAAATCAAAACCACAAAGAGATGCCACTTCATACCTACTGAGAGACATGTCAGACAGATAAAGCAAAGGTATCACTTATTTGTGGAACCTACAAAGCCAAACTTGAAAAAATAGAGTAGAATGGTGGTCTGGTCAGGAGCTAGGGGTAGGGGAAGAAAGATGCCATTTAAATATACAAACTTTCAACTAGTAAAGTAAGTTCTAGAGATCTGATACACAGTATAGTGAATACAGACAATGGTATTATAACCATTAAATTTACTAAAAAATGAGATTTAATTTGTTTCCACTACAAATAAGGAAATGATCATTATGTGACATGAGAAAGGTGCTAGAGCCACAATGGCAATCATATTACAACTATAGGTCTGGAGCACAAATTCGTCACCAGTGAGGTCCCTTAGCCTGACCTGCAAGATTGGACTGAAACCAGCACTCTGACATCCCTTGAGGGGTCCCAGATTGTGAGAGGGCACAGGCTAGGTCAATGGATCTCACTAGCGCACAATAAGGGCCTTGGAGGGACACAGGAGGTTATCCAGCCATGGAGGGACTGCCAGAGGGCTCCAGGGCATGTCTGGCCTGTTTGGCTCAGTATTGATCAGCCAGACCCCAGCATCAAGCTAACCTATGGTCGGAGCATTAGCCCCCCTGGTGGTCAGTGCATATCATAGCAACTGGTTGACCGGTTGACTGTCCCCTGGTGATCAATGCATATCATAGCGAATGGTTGATTGGTCTTAGTGTATCATTAGCATATTACACTTTGATTGGTTGAACGGCCGACTGGTTGACTGGACACTTAGCACATTAGGCTTTTATTATATAGGATATGTAAATGTATCAAATCAACATGCTATAAACTTTAAATCTACATGATGTTATATATGGAGTATATTTCAAACTTTCCCCAACACTTCTCACCTACTAATATACCTATTTAAAAAAAAACACAAAAAAAACAGAAAATAGTGCTGGCAGGGATGTGGTAAATTTGGAACTCTTATTACTCTCGTTACATTGCCAAGAATGGGAAAAGGTGCAACTGCTGTGCAAAAACAGTTGTGTGGTTCCTTGAAAGTTAAAAAATTGCCATGTGACCCAGCAGTTCCACTCATGGGTACATACCCAGAAGAAATGACAGCAGGGATTCAAATACATCCTTAGACGCTGACATGGATAGCAGCAATATCCACAGTAGTCAGAGGGGAAAACAACCAAAATGTCCATCAACAGATGAAAGGATAAACAAAATGTGGGCCAGTCTCTCTATCTGGTGAAAATAAATAAGGTCTTATATTCTAGGAGGTGACAGCAAAGACTGAATTAGCGAGCACTAACCTGCTCCTCCTACAGGAACGTGAGGCTCTCAAGAGCCACCAGCTCTAACATTTTCATCAACTGACCTATACCTTCTCCCGTTTTATGCGTATTTCTGTTAGAGACACCTTGGTAACACATACTGATGTTTCAATAACTTGAACTCACCAACAGCATTAACTCAGGCTTGAAAGAAGCTTATCTAGCGCCTGCATTTTCCCCTAAGGTGCATAACAGCCTAAGGAACTCTCAACTTCAGCACAAGCTTGGGAGTCACCTTCAACAGGGAACTCACCCACAAAATACCCAACAATGCAAACCTACCGTTCTAAGTAGACGGTGCAAAGGACACTTGTTTACAATGTGAGGGCCGACACGGGGGCAGTCTCAACTGAAATGCACAGCCTGGGCCGCTGGAATGCACTGCCTCTGTGCAGGCCTACACACAGCCCAGAGAGTTCTATAAGGGCTGACTTTGGGTTACAAATAAATGTAGACAGAGGCTGACTCCTAAGTGCAAAACCTGTAATCAATGAGGACCCACTGTAGATACATACAATGGAATAATATTCAGCCATTAAATGAAATCCTGATACAGACTCCAATAAGGGTGAATGCTGAAGACATACTAAATGGAATAAGCCAGAAGCAAAAGGACACACATTGTCTGACCCCACTTACACGCAATGTCTAGGACAGGCAAATTCACGGAATAGTGGTTGTCAGGGTGTTGGGATGGAGGAGAGTCTGTTGTCAGGGTTTTGGGGTGAGGGGTGAATGTGGAGTTACTGCTCCATGGAATCAGAGCTTCTGTTAAGGACGATGCAAAAGGACTGGAGATGGAGAGTGGGGAGGGTAGTACAGCAACGTGATTGCAATCAGCACCCCTGCGCTGTACACTTAAAATGATTAAAATGGAAAATTCTGTTACATATATTTTATGACAAAAATGCATGTGCTAAATGAAATTAAATGGGTCACTTTAATCTCCCGTTAAGAATAAATGAAGACACACTGGACAACACCAACAGCCTCTTGCCCTCACTTCTTTTTAAAGAACGTACCCTCCTTACTATGTTTTTCTCTTGGCTTATAAGCCATATTTTAAAACAGGCTCATTATTTAGTAATATCAACTAATTACTGAGGACAAACAAGTAAATTAAAATGTGCACGTCAGTTGTTTGGCTGCACTTCATGCTTTTGGTGAAAATTTATGCAGTAACAGAATTATTCTTTGTAATTGCCAAGAGAAGGGTCACCTTGAGAACCAACAACGGACGCTCCCGATTTATCTTGGAATACAGTTGCCGGCAGGTCACCCCGTTTGGGTGAAGCAGTCCTCCCAGGTAAATTAGCGCCGGCACTATTTCAGTATCTTGGCACTCTGTGTCCACTTTTAATCTCTTCCATTGCTTTTGTTTCTTTGATCATCAATCTATTTCTCATCTGCTCCCTTCCCCACTGAACACCCCTATTTTCATATCTCCGGGGAGAGCCATCTGTTGGAATATGGCTGCGGTTCACTTCATCATTCAAACGCTCCAGTTTTTTTTTCTTTATCTCTTGACCCAACAAATACAAAGTGGCGCTGCTGGACAGACACAGAGGAAGTGTGCTCATGTGAAATACAAATAGCATTAACATGTAAACTTAACACGTAGGAAGGGATTCATGGCCAAAGAAAAACCAACTGCGATTCTTTCAATCTTGGAAAACGCATCACAAAACTATTTGGCTGCTCTTAGGACTGCGGAGATGAATAAATGTAATTGCCATGAAGACACACCGAGCAGCCGTACAGCGGCCACAAAAGAACCACCGCATGAATGTGCGCTGAGGTAGGTGCTTCTACAGTCACACTTCCTAGAAGTTAGATAGCCTGAGTGTAGATCCCCAAAGCGGCCGTTTTCTATTAATTGTGGCTTTGTACCAGTCAAGCTTTTGGAGCCAACTGGATCATCTTCCTTTTGGGACCATTCCCACATCCTATTATGTGAAATTTATATATACTGATTCATACATATGCAGGAGTGTGCGTGATGGTTTGGTGTAGAGTAATTTTTAAATTCTCAAATGATAGTTTTTGGTTTTTTTTTACTCTTAAAAAATGCATGAAGCAGTAGATTCCTTCACAAACATACACCTGTTTAGAAATCATAAAAACATTAAAAAAAAATAACACAGCAATCTGCTTTATGAAGGCTAATGAACAGGTACTCACTCATTAAAGACCAGGTCTGGTGCAAAATAGAGGAATTGGCTGTTCGTGTGTTTGTACGACCTCCAGCTCAAGGCGAACGACGACAGACACATCCAGGAATACTGGATGAGGGTGATTTGGTCCTCGAGAGGCAGGTTTTTAAATCCTGAAGAACAGAACAATTAGACACAGAGAAACACTTAGCATCTGAGTACACTCCAGGAAGAAGCTCCTTAAGTTAGCCTCCCGACAGCCACCATCCTCTAAGGCCCCCGATCGATGTCACAGCCACGTACAGAGCACCCGCCCTGGGCCTGGCCCTGCTTAAGACCTCATTTCAATTCACTCTTCATTCTCAGTGAGGGCGGACAGCCTGGGCCACTAACACTGGGGGATTCAGGGCGTTTCGCTGGATGACGGTCTAAAACCCTTAGTTAGATGGAAAGAATCTGTATTAACCTGTGAAGCATCTTTATCGCACTCCCAGGGATAATGTTAACAGATTGGATAATCTAATAACCATCAGCTACTGCATTATCTGCAATTACTCTTCAAGAGTTTGTGATGGTTGAACAAGCATTATTCCTTGCTTCCCACAGTCTGGGATGACACTGGACTAAGCACTCTTGGCACCTGCCCCCCTGCCCCACAGGCCTCCTATCTGGGTCTCAAGCCCTTCTTTTGTTCCTTTCCCCAGGCCCTGCATTCCCAGTGACATTAGGCTCCTCTTAAAAAAAAAACCCATTGCCAAGCTTTCCCCAGACTGCATTCCTATGGCTGCTGGTTGGCCAGAGGTCCTTTAAGAAACTGCTTTGGGTAAATGTAGTGGGATATTATGATAGCAATTCTAAGTGATGCTTATGTAGATTAATGGGGACCTTATTAATAAAATCCTATGGCATAAAAAAATGACTAAAGTAAGAATTTCAAGGACGCTTTATATTTTTTTGAAAGAACAGATTTTCAGGGGCTCCTACAATTTAACAGACAGGTCTTGCTGTACTGGGTTTCTGGTTAGGTCAGCCTTGGTTACAAGATGCTAGCAACAGGCCATTAGGCTTTCACGATAATCTCTATGGGATGGCATTGCCATTGCAACCATCCACACAGGAAACGTGTGACATATTAACAATGGAACCTTTAACGCTAACTGCTCAGGAGAAGAGAGCAGAATTCCGCGAGGCACCTGTTCATCTGATCATTTTAAAGTCCGCTCCCAGGATTTAAGAGGAAGCCATCTCTGATAGCTCTGCGGGATGTGGGGAAGGAGGCTGCCCTGACCTGTCCCGTGCAGGACACAGACCGTGGAAGGAGAGGCAAGCCTACCTGGAATTACCTTTGCCCACTTCACGACTTGGATCATCTGCTTGCCCGCCAGGCGGTTCAGCGTGGAGAGCAGGCTCTCGGCGGTGTCCGGCTTGGAGCCGTCATAGCCTGCGTACACAATTTCGGGCTCGATGTTCTCTAGGACCATCCCAGGGGAGGGGGTGAGCGCGCGCGAGATGGTGGAGAGCTGAGGGACCAGCGCGGTGTTGACGGAGGGCTCTTTTGCAGGGGCGATGTAGGTCGTCCCTTCCTCAGGGCTCTGGGGCGGCGGGGGTGGTGGCGGGGGCTGCTGCTGCTGTGACTGCTCCTCGTGAATCCCTTTTAACTTCCCCAGCTTCTTTGACTTGCGGGCTGTATATAAATCATAAGTGATGAGAGCAAATTAAAATTACGATAGGGATATACACCATAGGAGGTAAATTACAATCAAACATTGACCTATATAGAGTGGGGGAAAAGAAAGTTTACAATTATTCCTGTGGAAAATAAAATGATAATAAGAATAAACTCTGCTTTGTGTACTGGTAACTGTAACCCACATTTGCCCCACCCTTTACTAGTTAAAACATGCCTTTCCTCTAAAGATGACTTACGATACTAATGGAAAGAGTATCTTTTTAAATATTTTTGGGATACCATGTCCTAATGCTTTATATAAATAAAAACAGTTTAATGACCTTTTGAGTAGGTACTATTCTTAGTCTCATTTTATAACGAAGAAACTGAGACCAAAAGGGTTATGAGATTTGCCTAAGGCCACACAGCAAATATACGTAAAGTAGAGACACAAATTCATAGGAAAGGGAAGTCATTTCATAGGTTAATAAATGGCATATGCCTCAACGAAGCCTTCCGTCAGTCAGTGATCCCCACTTACTATGCACTGACGAGTTGCCAGCAAGCACTAGGGTGGCCTGACTGAGCTTGTGATTCTCGTGCTGTCCCTGCTCCCTGGGATTAGGAGTTGCTTTGGTGCTGCGTCTTGTCCCTGTGGTGGTCGCTGCACAATCACCTGCTTATGCAGAGCAGTTATGTTGTGCAAACGCTGCTGGACCTGCATTCCCAGTTCTATTGTGAACACAGAAGCACAAATGCTGGATGCTCCTCCTCTGTTATGGCCCCCTTGGCACTCTGGGAAATGCCACACCTAATGTAAGTGATTTATATATTTCCACAGGATGAATGGGTGAGCAATCAACCCCAAGTCAATGAAACAAAGGGGAAGACATTAAATGTCTGGATGATTTCAAACTGGACAGCTAACTAGCAATGCACAGGAACCGATGCCACACAAAAAATCAGGTGCAAGTTACAGCCATACACACAACATGCGATCTTTACAAGGCTGTTCCAACTCTTTGTTTTTAATATAAGTAAGGAATTCACACGACTTACAGCCAAGAAGGAAAACATACCACAATCCTATATAGGAATCCTAGTTTAGATGTTTAGGACAAGTGACCATATTTATGCTCCGATGTACCCAGAAGAGCCCTGGTTTATGCTGTTTCCCCAGCATGATTAATTATCAATAGAGCCCTGCTTACTCCTAAAAGTGCCAGATTTTGGGCAATTGATCAATACTGTGCTCATCTTCATTAAACCAAAGAAATAGTGCTGGCTCTAATAGCAACTGTCTTTCTTTCCCACTCCTTTCAAAGTTTTTATTGTTAAAATAAATAACAGAATGAAGGCATGAGAAGGTGGAAAGGGATATTGGCAGGCAGGTGGGAGGGTTTGGGTGGATGGCAGGTGGGTGGGGTGAGTAGATAGGAAAGATTAATGAATAAAGAGAAGAGAAAGCCCAGAACTTAGAGATGTGGTAATAACTCAATTTCCAATTGGAAGGTTTTCCATTTTTAAAAATAATTTGTTTTAAAATCCTTGAAGACCCAGACATGTTTTTTTTTTCTTTTTAAAATATATTTTATTGATTTTTTACAGAGAGGAAGGGAGAGAGATAGAGAGCTAGAAACATCAATGAGAGAGAAACATCGACCAGCTGCCTCTTGCACACCCCCTACTGGGTATGTGCCCGCAACTCAGGTACATGCCCTTGACCGGAATCGAACCTGGGACTTTTTCAGTCTGCAGACCGACGCTCTACCACTGAGCCAAACCGTTTTCGGCTAGACAAGTTCTTCTTAGTTTAACATATGTGCGGAATTTACAGCATATAAATGTTACACAGTACTATGCCACACCAATGAACTTGATTTTAATAGTAACCATTCATGTTTACAATTATAGCCATTAACATTTACCACATTCGCCACAGAAACACTTACCAATTCAGATAAAAGAAGCGTTGGCCACACATTCATTAAATAATGGAAGGGGCTTAAAAGATGAACAAGCTACAATTCCTATTTTTAAGGTGTTTAAAATCAGCAAAGTAAATTTAAAATTCCAATAACTTCAAATCATTTCATTTCTTATAGATAAAAAATTGAGGCAGAAAAATCTGACTTTTTTTTAATGAAAAGCAGATGTCATTCTCATGCATACTAATGAGAGCTGCGACAAAGTATTGTCCCATAGCACTGAGCATAGAGTAGGTAACTAAGGTGCATCTTAAGAATGGATTGAAGAAAAAATAGCAGCTAAATGCCCCCCCCCCCCAAAAAAAAATAAAAAATAAAAAGGCAAAACAATAGAGAAGAAAATAACCAAATATGTAGATAATCCAAAATGCTGGCCAACTGATGACTCTGGAAGAGCTTGGAAAAATCCTTAAAAGCATATCCTGGTCATTGGGAATCATATACCTGGAACTGCCCCCGTGTCACATAAACCTGCCGTAGGCATCAACTGATTCTCATAAGAGGGATGGGGACAGCAGGGGTTCCCACTCCTGTCTCACAGCGAGCTAAATGGATGAGAAAAATAAGAACTTGCTGAACTCATTACTAACATCTGAAATACTATTTCAATGTTACTTCCATTCTTTCCCATAATTTCACAATTAAAAATGTCCCCATTCATGAAAATGTCATCACCTTGTATAAAACAACATCTGATAACAACCACAATTTGATTGTCTAGAAATAGCCCTGGGTGATAGTCTCAAATTTTAGTAAGAGTGATATTTGCTTGAAAAGTAATGATAAAATTCACATTTGTTTAAGGCCTTAGGTCTATAATGCTGTGTTTATTCTCATGGCCTATTTAAGGTCAGTGCAATGAAATACCAGGAAGAAAGACCCTTAACATTTCCTCTAATGTTATAAACTGTGGCCTGGAGCATAACCCACTGAGCAGATTATCAACATTCTCTTTAGCATGTCAGTCATATTTAGTTTCATGCTGTGGTTTTATGAATATATATGGGGAACTTGGAATTGAATAATAATATGTATTAATTTAAATACTTCAAGGCAATACATACTCTCAGTGTGCAGACTCTTCATCTAGTGTCTTTTCTCAGAGCATGGAGGTAAGGTTACATATTAATTATACTTATATTGCTCCAGGCAGCCTTCCTAGAATGCTTGACAGTCCTACACTGTTTTTCTAACACCTGCTGTATTCTAGAAGTAAAGCTCCTGGGAATTGATAAGGCCTTATGTATCCCTACAACATTCTCCATGATGCTTACGGGTTACTCAATAAATGTTTGTTGACAAAATTTATTCATTTTCAAATTTTAATAAACTGTTATATAGATTAAGTATTTGTTTAACTCCATTTAGAAAACATAGGCAAGTTTCTGAGATTTTGAGATTCAATTTCTGATTTGTTATTCTTCCTTTTCAAAGTGTCTACTGGACAATGATCCATTTGTGGAGTTGTTACTCATAAAATGCCATCACTAAAATAACATTAAACTAAGTGTGCTGGGCATGTAGGGGCTCAGCACAGTTCAAAACTGTGATTTGTTATATTATTTCCATTTCACAGGTAAGAAAACTGAAGCAGAGAGAGGTCAGTCCTCCAAGGCAACAACCTGGGCTCAGAGCCTACAGCCTTAACCTCTATGCCATGCTCTCCTTTAATCCTTTCTCTTTACTTACTTTGTATTTATTTACACTGTAAGGTTAGCAGGGGCTTCAAATCCAACTGTATAATTAAGAAGTTTGCTAATTACACAGGAAAATCTTGGGCCAAAGAGACTCAACGAGCAGGTTTCCATTACCCACAGCAGGAGTGAACGCAGGTTTTGGGCCTTAAATGGGGAGGCACTCACGTGCCCAGATGGCCAGAGCCACACTTCATTTCTCCACTGCCAGCCACAGCTGCACGAAGGTATGTGTATGATGTGCATTAATATGACTGAATGTCTCCCAGTCCCACTTAGGCCTGGAGGAGTCGGACTTTTTCTGCCTGGATGCTATAGTCACTAGTACACGGGTAGTGGCTGCCCTCTGAGGCCAAATCCTTAATTACTGGCAGCATCCTGACAGCCAGTTTCTCCTGGCCTTGCTGGGTGGCAGAACTGCACTGACTTCTCATGACTTGTTCGTCAGGAGCTGTAGGGTGGGCAGGCCCTTCCTATCCTGCCGACACTCGGAACACCCAGCTGCGAGCATCTGGTGGGACACTACAAACATTGCGGCAAGCTCGCAGTGGGGATCTCTAGATGCACAAAGGCCATGAACGTGCCATGACAACTCTTCCCTTTCCCTTTGCTCCATCTCCTGAGACTCATATGACCCAGTACACACCTTTCTGGCAAACGACTGGTGTGATAGGAAGGCGGCTGACTAGAAACTACCTCATTCTTGCTTCCCCAGGAAATTGACAAGACCAACAAGGTTCTCGTGGTACTTCCATCATGACTTTCTCAAGTGCATGCAACTGAAGATCCTTTAGATTCAGCAGCAGGGAATCAGCACAGATTTCCCCCCCCCCCCCCCCTTCTGGAGTAGAATAAAACACTGATATGGAATGTTTTCAATCACAACGTTTCCCTGGAAAAAAAGTTAAAGTGAGAAAGAACTCTGTCATTTTAGACATACTTCCTGCCATGCTTGACATTTTAGGTCTTGGCAGTAATTATAATGAAGAAGATATATGGATGTTATATGAAAACATGCATTTTTCTGTTTATGGGCCAAATGTAATCACTGGCTTAAAGCCACAGGCCAATATCTGCATCCACCCCCTTCTTCTATCTTCCACAGCCTCTCACCCAGATCCTGAGCTCCTACTTTTCATGTCTTCTCTCTTTACTTGAGGACTTCTCTTCACCTTTCTACTGCCAGAGGCAAAACACTCTGCGAGTTCAGGGACAACCGAGTATTTTTGTCATGAAACCAAAGGAAGGAATGTCACTTTTCTACAAATGTATGTAGCTTTGCAGCAAAACTTCTCTCATTTGTACTAACAGCAAAGGGCATCTATGGTTCTCA